ATATGTGTGTGTGTGTGTGTGTGTGCGTGTGTGCGTGCGTGCGTGCGTGTGTGTATTTATTTTTTTTTTTGGTCAAATTAGGACTGCAAAATTCACAACTGAATTGAAATCTCAGTTTGAATGGATGCAATTAGCAAATCTGAAATGCATTTTTGAAATACCAACATTTCCTCTACAAAACCAAAAGTGTCCTGTCTTATCCTGCATAAAAACTGCACAAACATGTTCTGAAATCTGATTCTTATATTCATTTGCCAGTTCACGTTTTATTCTTTTTTTGTCGGTTCTCCTGGACATGTTCATAATGCCAACTCCCAACACAATCCTATTATTAAAACATGAAATCACAAACATCTCTTAATGCTTCCCAGAAAATTGGTAATTAGATATTTTTCCCAAATTGCTCAGCCGTCGGTGTAATGTACCTGTTAGAATAAAGGCTTGGCTGGCGCTGAGCTTTTAAACAATGAACTCCTGTGTGCGTGTGACAAGTCGAGACCCGCGGAGATGCACGCCGTACCCTCGCGCCCTGTGTACACTAAAGCTATTGTGTAACTTTGGCTCGCACTGGGAGTCTACATTTTGAGGTGGGGTTATCTGCAGATGTACACGGCGATAGCAACAGCAGTCGTTTAATGATAAGATGCGAGACTTTATTTGACAGTCTTGATTATAATGTTTTGAAAATACTAAGTACTTGCTGCTGACACTGATGTCTTACTTTACTTAATAATTTTAGCAATCAAGGAATACATGTAAGAGCCAGTACAAACAGTTTAAAATGTGCTTTATGTCTTATAAAATCTGATCTTACAAAAGTGACTCTTGTGAGCTTTTAGTTATGTTATAATGTTGTTGCCTCATTAAAAACAGACTTGTGTTTCATTTCATTCACACATTTTGTTTGAGTTTGAGTAATCTTTTATTATTATTAGTCTGTCTACATCTCCGAAGCTCAAAATGCTCTATTCCACCTTGTGATGTCATGAAGCGGTAGTTTGCAAGTTACACTGCAGATGACACCAACATATTTTATAGTAGTCACAATTATAATGAACGTATAAGTACTCTAAACAAAATTAAAAAGTGAATGGATATCAATAAATTGTCATTAAACTTGAGTAAGACCAAGGCAATGATGTCTGACATTTGCAAGGTTAACACAGAGTTGCCAATACACGCATCAAGAATGTCGGACTTCTGGTCATTGTGCAATACATACTGGGAAGGATTTTCCGAAAAAGTGAGCATCAAACCGTCATGTTTGTTTTCCCAGTGGGATGTGTCTATTGACAAAGTCAGTCTTTTCAAGTCTTTTGAACCATATCACTTTTGTTTCTGGTTCTGATATTGTCATATTTTAGTTTTGGGATTCAGACATCATAATTGTGTGGTTGTTGGATCCTAACAGCGGAAAACAGCTTGAGAAATTTGTTTGCGAACTCCATAACTGTAAAAGGGAATCAGATGTGTGTGACTGCAAACCTCTGTTCAAACTGTTTCCCAGCGGAATTGAAAAATAGTGAAAGGTGAAGGCGATGAGCAGGATTGATCCACAGGAAGGACCAAAAAGGAAACCTTTGACTGTTTAAATCATCCCGAGTTTGCAGCGAACGTGTTGTATGTGCAAAAGCAAAAATCCCGATCCCTCGCTCAACCTTGTTTATGAATTTAAAAAGTCAATGCCAAAGCGAAAGGCACCAGCTGTTCTCCAAGAAAAACCTTCCACTGCAAAGAGACCAAGACGTGATGTTGCTGTAAAACCACAAGAACAAGAAAGTGCAGCTCAGTCTGTTTGTCTTCTGCACCTCTCACTTAACAAACGGGATCCTGCTTTGTTGGTGCTCCTCATGCAAAATGTTCTCTACAAACTCGGGATGATTTAGGCAGTCAAAGGTTTCCTTTTTGGTCCTTCCCGTGAATCAACACTGCCCATCACCTTCGCCTTTCACTATTTTTCAATTCCGTTGGGAAGGGAAACAGAAGGTTTGAACAGAGGTTTGCAGTCACACACATCTGATTCCCTTCTGCATTTATGGAATTCGCAAAAACAAATTTCTCGAGCCATTTTCCACTGTTAGGATCCAACAACCACACAATTATGATGTCTGAATCCCAAAACTAAAATATGACAATATCAGAACCAGAAACAAAAGTGATATGGTTCAAAAGACTTGAAAAGATTGACTTTGTCAATAGTCGCATCCCACTGGGAAAACAAACATGGAGGTTTGATGCTCACTTTTTCGGAAAATCCTTCCCAGTATGTATTGTGCGATGACCGGAAGTCCGAGATTCTTGATGCGTGTATAACGTCTTTCCCCTTGATGAAATTTACCAAATATTCTCTTTATTCCGGCTTTAAATCCTCGATTTCGGGAATCGTTGCCAACACAGAATGTTTGTCTCTTCGCTGATTGGCTGGTGCCCGAACTCACACTTCCAGAGTTTTTGCGAACCGTTTAGTGTATTCTGATTCCTGACCTAGTCCCTGGAGAGAAATGAAATTGAGCGGAGGCACTAGGTGGCGCCAGTTTGACTGTGAAAATACATCTTGCTACACGAAAAAACAAGAACTTTTTTGCACTTAAAATAAGAAACAAAATTGACTGTTGCTTGAATTAAGAAAAACACTTATTCCATTGGTAGATCATTTTACTTGTCAAGTTGCACTCAAATAAAGTCAAATGTTCTTAATTTAAGTCATTTTAACTTACCTTAGATATTGTTTTTCCAGTGTAACAGCGCCTTTTACCTTTAGTTCAGCAGAGATTGACAATTCCAGGGCTGAAAAGATCCAAATCATTCTGTTGAAGGTGTATGGAGTTTAAAAACATAGTGGAGCACTTGTTGTATTACCAAATGATATCAGAAATTGGAACAGTGTTTTCTGTTTGAGAGAAGAACTCAGCCTAAATGTGCAGGGTTTGTGTGTTAAACTGCAAATGAAACAAAAAACACAACTCCAGGTATTTTTTTAAAATTAGAAAACATTATAACCTACAGTAAATCAGAAAATAGCATAATATTGGCCCTTTAATCTTCATCTGTACCATATAATTTTATATTTTTTATAATCCTTCCTCTGTGTCCTGTATTCACTCTCCCTCCTTTGTGCCATATTTTGACTCTCCCTTTTCTGTACATGTCTAAACCAAAACCAAAATGGAAACTTAATCTCCAAAAAATAACATGAGCTGTCCAAGTGATGTACTTTGTTCAAAGAATTCTCTGTACTTTTTTGTTTAATTGAATACGGGATTACGCAATTAATATTATTGTGAAATATTGAAACCTCCCTGTTTCTTTTTTTTTTTTTGCTGCTTATTTTGAATGTTTTAGGGACGGGACAAGCGCTCGTGCCACAAGATCTCACGAGACATAATTGTGCAACATGAGGAAAATGAGCTTGTGAGATTTTTTTCCTCACATTTTTACATTTGCCTTGGATGAAAAAGGGATTAACTTTGCTGAGTAACTCCTCTTGAGAAGCTGCGACACCAAAAAACACAAAACTGTAACATTAAATAAAGCAAAGCAAATACTATGAACTGAATGTCACAATTTATTTATCAAAAATTATATCAAAATCTCGTCTTGTCTCGATCTCGTGGACTGAATCTCGACACGTCTCGTCTTGTAGAAATTGTATCTCGTCCCATCCTTAATTATTATACAGGGTGTTTTTCGCAGGCCAATAATTTTGTCAGTTCTTGTTGAAATAACCTAAAATTTTCACAAAATGAATAGAAACATTTCAAGATTTTATATTTAATGTTTTAGTTTTGTTTTGTTTTCAGGTTGAGCCGTTCACTCCCAAAGAGAGGTCATTTTGTGTCTTAGAATCTGCTCGCACACACTCACCCAAGACAGTGCAGCTTCAATCCTAAATTTGGAAAAACTTCACCAACTATAAACAAATTTGGATTTGCTCAACCTGAAAACAAAAATAAAACATGAACTATAAAATGTTAATCTCTTTCTATACATTCTGTGAAAATTTGAGGTTATTTCAACAAGAATCACCAAAATTATTGGCCTGTAGGGGTGTGTATTAGTGTTATAACTTTTTTACAACCTCTATACCCTGTATCATATTTTGATGAACTTTTGCTAGTAATGAAAGGAATTGACCTTCAGTTGGTCATATTTTTGAAAAAAGTTCCCCCAGACTCAAAATGAAGTTTTGGTAAAGTCGACCAACAACCAGAATAAAACTGTTAGAAGGTTAATATCTGTTCAATCATAAAATAACCAAAGGCAATTTTCTCTTGAATAACACAGGAACAAAACACATAATCAGGGTAAAGATCATATAAAATAGGCCACTAAAAGTCAAAAATGATGATTGTCAGTGTTGGCTTTGCAACGATGAATCGAATGGTTTATAAAGTGAAAGCAAGAAGAGAAAGTGAAACTCCAGTATATTATGATGCAGTACAACTTATTATTGATCCATTTTCAGTCAAATTGACTTGTAACGGCCCTTGGGAGAACTCAGCACAGTTTCACATTTCATATCATTGGCTGTAATGTGTATTTAATATATTTTTGTTTCGGGGGGACTTTTTTAAACGAGTGTTGAAAATGGAGTTTGGTTTCTTCAATTATACCAAAAAGTTCATCCAATCATGATGCAGGATTTTGATTTTGGAAAAAAAGTTCAAAAAGTTATAACTCTAGTGTGCAATGCCTCACGATATTGTACATATCATGATCCGCATGCCACAATTCAGTATATCCCAATACTAAAACACTGGATGATATATTGCAATTTATCAACAGTTACTTCAAATAATACAGTCAACTACACCTTTAAGAGCACAGTTGTATGAAATATAATCTATACATTTTTTATCATGAGAACAGTGAATGCAACTAATGATTTTTTGTGAAAAATATTATTTGAAAAATCGATTCAAGAATTGTGCAATGAAGTATCAAGATATTTCACTGAATCGATTTTTTTTGGGGGGGACAACCTGTATTTATGCTCTTTGTTATTATATGAAGAGAGATAAACTTTTGTGCCTTCTTCATTAATATTATTAGTTTGTAAGACCATAAACGAAAACAAAAATCCTTAAATTATTCATTCCCATTACTGCTTATTTTGTAGAATCATAGACGAAAACAAAAATCCCCAAATTTTTTATTCTCATTACTGTTTATTTTGGTACAAGTATAAACAATAAGCTTTCGTGCCTTCTTCATTACTATTATTAGTTTGTAAGACCATAAACGAAAACAAAAAAATCCTTAAATTATTCATTCTCATTACTGTCTATTTTGTACGATCATAAACGATAAACTTTGTTCCTACGATAACATTATTATTAGTTTGTACGACCATAAACGAAAATATGTACTGGATATCTATGATGTGTGTATGTATGTATGTGTGTATGTATGTACATATGTGTGTACATGTATATGTATATAGTATGTATGTGTGGATATGTTTTTGTATATATGTGGGTATATTTTTGTAAATGACAGGTAAGCACTTCAATGATGATTAAAAAAAAAAAAAAAAAAAAAGTGAACCACGTGATAATGTAAAACAATTGGGGTAGGACTCCATAAGTTTTTTAAACTTCATTCTACTCCTTTTGAGCACCAGGTCCCAAATATGTCATGTCCATATCACTATTTTGGTTATTGTATTTGAATTTTGTTGTACCTGCTCAAACAAAGAAATGAATGAATGAATATGATATTGTGATATACAGTGAATCAAGTGGACAAAGTTTGTCTCAGTCAAAGAAATACTGAATCGTCTCTCTCTCTCTCTCCTTTCAGGTCTTGGCAGTCCCCAAGATGGCGTCCCGCGGAACAAAGCTCCTAACCGTAGTACTTCTCTTCCTTTTCCACCTCTCCTTATGTTACGGAAAATTAAAAGGCAAAGACATCTCTCCAATGAAGTTCACCCATCCCGTCTACAACACCACCATTTTTGAAAACCCCGCCCCTCGCACTTACATAGAAACACCAATCAAAATGGGCATCGAACTCATTGATCCTTTATGGCAAATCAAATTCAATATAGTATCTGGTGACGATGAAGAATTTTTCCAAGCTGAATCACTCGTCGTTGGAGATTTTACGTTTCTGAGGATCAAAACGAGAGTTAGCTTCTCTTCTTCCATAAATCGAGAAGTTCAAGATATCTACGCACTTACTGTCGAGGCAACGGAAAGCACTTTTGATCTTAAAACCAAAACCAAAGTGATGGTTCAAGTTCTAGACACCAATGACTTAAAACCGCTTTTCTACCCCGCATCATATTACGTCACGATTAGCGAAGATTCTCCTCTGCAAAGTAGCGTGGTCACAGTTAGCGCTACTGACGCAGATTTGGGTAGCAACGCTGAGTTTTATTATTTGTTCACGACGCGCTCACATCCGTTCACTGTTGACCCTTTTACGGGAAAGGTGAACTTGTTCAGGAAGCTGAACCACACCAGAAATGAAAAATACGATCTTACCGTTTTAGCCGAAGATCGAACCAAGAAGATCTCGGGTGTTCAGAAATTTGGCAATGTGGCAAGAGTGACCGTAAACGTACAAAAAACAAATAAAACTCACCCGATTATAACTCCGAGTCCAAAACCTGCTATTTCATCTGATGGCAAAGTTACAGTCGATGTCCACGTTGAACCAGGGATCAAACCTGTGCAGTCTCTACAAATCATAGAAGGAGATTTTGACAAGTTTTTTGACATAATTCCTTCAGGAGTCCAAGGAAATGATTTTCAAATAATATCCACTAAGGAAATCAGTTGGTCACAGATACCTCGCGGTTTAAATTTGTCATTACAAGCAAAAGATAGTAGCTTTCCAAGTTTGCTATCTCCAGTCACAAAAGTCTACATACCTGCAGTTCATTACACGCCTTTGACATTTTTGGAAGACACTTACATCGTTTCTTTAAGTGAATTTGCGCCACCAAAAACGCACGTTGTCAAAGTTTCGACCACACCTGAATCCTACAACGTCAGCTATAGCATAAAAGCGAACCCGGACTCGGCCAAATTCAAGATAAACCACAAAAGCGGCATTATCGTCACCGGCGATTATTTCGATTTCGAAACAAAACGGCGGTACGAATTTGACGTCATCGCTAACGATGGAGAAGCCGAAACTCATATCGTGGTTGAGATTACAGACGAGAACGACAACGCGCCGCAGTTCCTTAAAAATTCTTACCACGCTACGTTAGACGAAAACAGCCCGGTTGGGAGCAGCGTTTTGAAAGTCAGCGCTATTGATAAAGATTTAGGCATGAATGGATTGGTAACTTATTCAATCGCTAATACAAACCCGGTACCGTTTACGATTGACCCGTTTACTGGTATCATATCCGCCTCTGAACACTTGGACTATGAGTTAATGAAAAGACAGTACCACCTTAGAATTTGGGCTTCGGATAGCGGGAGTCCGTTTACTCAAGTTAGCGAAAGCCCTGTTACGATCATCCTAAACAATTTAAACGATAATACGCCGTTGTTTGAAAGGGTAGACTGCAATACAACTATCCCGATCGACTTACCCGTACAGCAGGCAATTGTCCAGCTATCTGCTATCGACCTGGATGAGTTACAGCAACTGAAATATGTCATCGAATCAGGCAACGAACTTGAAATCTTCGCGACAGATTCACAGGGCGCTATCAAGCTAAACAAGCCAATACCGCCCAATTCAAACGCTTTTAATTTGAAGGTCATAGCCACAGACGGAAAGCACAAATCCGAGGCTTCGATAGTCAGAGTTACTGTCACGAATCCAGGAGAGGACGCTACTTTTCACTGTCAAGAAACCGGGATCTTTAAGCAAGTTACGGACAAGTTAATCGAGTCTATCAAACCGATTTTAACCAACCAGGGGGAAGAGACTTTTTCAGACAAATACATTACAAACAGACACTCCCCCAAGTTTAACCTCAGCATACCCGGGTCCATTGATTTAGTGGAAGATTACCCGTTAAATTCCACTATTGTCCAGTTCAAAGCTACCGACGGCGACACAGGAATGAACGGAAAGCTTGTGTACGCGATTTCAAGCGGGAACGAAGACGGTTGTTTTGTCGTTGACGTATTTTCAGGCGATTTGAAGCTAGTTTGCCCCTTAGATCGCGAGACTAAGGAGTTTTACATTTTGAACATCACCGTTTCCGATCTGGGAATGCCACCGAAATTAGCTTGGAAGCTGATTGCCGTGAACGTAATGGACGTCAATGACAATCCGCCTATTTTTAGCCAGCCGAGATCTGTAATAAGAATTCCTGAAAATATCGAAGTTGATTCAGTCGTTTTTACAGCTCGGGCTAGTGATTTTGATAGTGAAACCAACGGGAATATACAATACACCCTTCTCACATCTACGGACTTGTTTACGATTGACAAACTTACTGGAGAGATTGCAGTAACGAGCCGATTGGACAGAGAAACTTTACCAAGACATGACTTAAAAATCGAAGCAAGAGACCAAGCAAAAATTGGACCTCAGTTATTCTCAACACTTGATTTGGTTGTTGTCGTTGAAGATATTAATGACAATCCACCAAAATTCAACCCAAAAGTTTACAAAATCAAAGTACCGGAAGATGTACCAGTTGGAACGCTTCTAGTTTGGTTGGACAGCGCTGATTTGGATCTCGGCAGTGGCGGCCACGTAACGTACAATCTTAAAAACACGGAAAACGGGATATTCCATCTCGATTCCACCACCGGGGCGTTGACTTTGGAGAGAGAGCTGGATTTTGAGCGGCGACCGTCTTACAACCTCACAGTCCGAGCGGTGGACCACGGGATGCCCAGGTCTCTCTCTTCGTCCTGTTACGTGGAGATAGAGGTGCTGGATGTGAACGAGAATTTGCACAGACCGGTGTTTTCGGAGTTTGTGTACGATACGGTGTTGATGGAGGATTCGCCGGTCGGGACTTCCGTGGTGACGTTAACCGCTTCGGACAAAGATTTGGGGCGAGATGGGGTCGTGAGGTACCACATTCACGGCGGCTCAGGACTCGGACTCTTCACCATCGATGAAGAATCAGGTAATAAATACAACTTTTGTTTTTATTTTGTCTGTTTGAATATGATGAGAAATTAGATCTCATAGCTTTTGAAAGGGGATAAGTCCTCAAAATATCACATGTAACACATTTGTTCTTTGTTCTGGTGGAGGATCTGTCATCTGCTTGTCTTCATGGAGATGTTGACTGAAAGTTTCTTAGTGTGGCATTAAATGTATATATCTTCATGGAGATAAACAGGTTACACTACCAGACTAAATTACAATGTCACATCTGTGTAGAGGCAATCCTATTGACAGAATGCATGTAAAGGTCTAATATTAGGCAGAATTTACCCTTTTAGTCCTGTTATAATGTTGTTACCTCCTCAAAAACATAAATTGAGTTGTGTTTTATTTCATTCACACATGTTTGAGTAACTCTTGAGTAATTATTAGTCTGTCTAGATTTCCAAAGCTCAAAATGCTTTGTTCCACCTTGTGATGCAGGGTTCCCACGGTCGTGAAAATCCTGGAAAAGGATGGAAATTGAAAATGTCATTTTTCAGGCCTGGAAAAGTCATGGAATTTTCTAAATTCAGTAAAAGTTTTGGAAAAGTCATGGAATTTTAGTATCTCTTTACGCAACTCCAGCGTTCTGTTAAGTTCTCACGAGGCTGTTCTGATTATTTGTGAACACCTGCGCCTTTTGTTAAAAAAAAGACAGCAATAAATCCACTGACAGGATTTTGAATGTTCAAAAACTATAATCCCAAACCATAAGGTGAGTGGAAAGAGTTAACATTTCATATTTAGTCCTAAAAGTCTGATCAATTCTACACATGTAGGTGCCGTAAAGTCATGGAAAATTCATGGAAAATCATGGAAAAGTTTTGAAATTTTATCAGTGAAAAAGAGTGGGAACCCAAATTAACAGTTACAGTTTACCTTTTTCAGTAGAGATTGGAAATTCCTGGAAATTATTCAAATTATTCTGTTGAAGGTGTATGAAGTTTTAAAACACGGTGGAGCAATTCCTGTATTATATTATACCACATGACGTCACAAGGTGGAACAGAGTGTTTTCAGTTTAAGATAAGAACACAGACTAAATTTGGAGGATTTGTGTGTTAAACGTGTGAATGAAACACAACACAAGTCCAGGTCTGTTTGTGACGAGGAAACTACATTAGAACATGGATCAGAAATAGTGCAGTCTGAGCCTTTTAAAAGAGAACTAACTAAAAGTGCCAAAATTGTGTAAAAGTGGTACCTCAGTTTGACATCTCTTTTTTTTTTTATCCTTTGCTACATGCAGATATCATTATTATATTACTTTATCAACAATTTAAATTCCCTGACCTTGAAAACCTTTCTGCTATCTGTGTGCAACAGATTTCTAAACCATAACCTCAGGTCACATCGCCTTTTAGATTAATGTCAAAAAGCACGTTGCAGAAACACTCGTCACTTATTTGAGAAATGACATCAAATTCAAATGATTCGTAACCAGCGCAGTCTTCTTTGCAGGTCAAAAGTTCTATTGAGATTAATACGAAATCCTTAAAACAACAACAAGCCAAGTATTATTTTTACAGTCACAGTTTTCTTTTGTAGCTCCAGATGGGACAGGACATGCTCGGGGTTGTACAACTTGACATTTCCTCCGACATTTTTTTGAAACCTTGCAGATTTTTCCATTTGAAGGCCCATCAGAGGCTCCAGCGCGTCCTAATGCACAGCGTTCGCCACATTTGCACTCGGAGCTGTGAGATAAGATCAGGGCAGGTGGAGGCGCTGTCAGAATGGCCCAGGCTAAAATAAATCTTCAGTTTTAAAGATGGCTCCTTAGGCTAAACCAGAGCTCACCTGCAAAATGATCGAATACATAGATAAGTTAACATGTATTTAGTTTTCTGAGTAGATTTTTCATATGTTAAAGGTGCAATAAGTAACTTTTGTAGTGGAGTGTCCACTAGGGATGGGCATTCGATTAAATTTTCTTAATCGATCGTTGGGAGAATTAACGATCGATTAATGTTTGTGTATTAAAATTTATCATCATTATTATTACTAGCTGCAATACTAATCTGCATAAATAAATTCAACTTTACGACATATAAACCGTAACCACTCTAGAGCCACATCAGCCCGTTTGACATTATAATGTGTTTAATGCAGCTTTGTGCAAGTCTCACAGAAACGACACTTAAAACCGCATGGCAAATTTGCATAAACTAAGCAAAGAAAAAAAAACTGCTCGACTCAGTGGAATACAGGTTAGTGTGACCATATTTGTGTTTGTCAAAACCAGGACACTGGGAGGTGGGGACTCGTCATCGACATTGTGCTACTCTCACCTGGCAGCGCTTTTTCATGTTTTTGTTGTCCTGGTGAACTTTTTCCCACTGGACACCGAAACATATGTGCTGCTTTGTTCACTGTGCACATGGCCTCACACTTGTCCCGACCGGAACAGAAAGCGTGGAATTCCTTGTACAAGTCATCGTTAAATACGAATTTGTGCTTCGGTACGTTGCAGACTGACCCACTGTTTGTGTCTCGCTCCTTCTGATGCAGAGACACATGTACACACCTGTTTGGTCACTCTACGCTAGAACAGAACAGAAACCTACATTCGATTTGTCGATTAAAATGAACGTAATCGATCAAATTCTTAATGATCAATTATCGATTAATTGACTAGTCATGCCTATCCCTAGTGTCCACCACCTGCTTGTGTCCATAGAAATGATATTGTGTATTGTGTAGAGCAGTGCTCCCCAAACTTTTTTTCGGTGGCCCATATTTTAAAAGTTACAAACCTTCCAAGTCAATAGGCATTATTCATAAATCACAAAATAAAGGTGGATTTGAGCATTATTGAACATTAATGAGGATATTTTATTGTTGACTAAGTGATCGTGTCTCTGAACAATTAGTATTCCTCAAGTTATAAATTATGAAAATTGAACCAGCTACAGAAGGTAGGCTATCCATAAGTCGCCTATTTGGACTTTCAATTGAACCAACAATATAGGAACAAAATAGTTTGTAGAACTGTATATTGCAGATCTACATGCAGGTCATAACAAATTGACCCCAAAAAAATCTCTTGCGACCCACCTGAGCATCGCGACCCAGTCTTTGAGAAACAATGGTGTAGAATGTTACACAGTATAATTTAAACCTATCTACCACAAGGGAGACAATTATAGGCTAAATCACAGGCCAGATCTGTGCAGAGGCAACCCTATTCACAGTAAAGGTGTGCAAAAATATCAAAATATCAATGTATTGTATCACATAATGTGCTGATACAGTATCGTGGGCTGCTGTTGGTGTATTTTCCTAAATTATTTTGTTACAGTTTTGTTGTTTGTTTAGAGGAAGGAAATTTGTTTATGCGCAGTGTTTGAGTAATGGATTACATGTACTGGAGTTATATAAGCAGAGTACAAATTATGAGTAACTGTATTCAGTTACAGTTACTGTTTCAATGAGTGGTAATTGGATTACAGTTACTTTATTGAAATGAATGGATTACACGGCGGGATTTTCCTGTTTTCACATTTTGGGCTATATCCCCCTTTTTTTTTTTTGTGTTTTTTTCGGTAATTCCACTCATTGTCAGAAACTAAACCAGGACTAAACCAGGACTAAAACCAGGTCTCAAACAGGATTTAACAGGACTAAATCATGATGATTGTCTCATTCTTCTATAAATAATATTTTTAATACATTTCAGTAAAGTCTGGGCTTTTTATTTTCTTTTAGCAGATAAAACTTCTTATGTGAAGATTTCCTCGTCTTTGCTTCTCTACAGCAAATCAAGTAATCCAAAGTATTCAGATTACGTTACTCACCTAAAGTAATTTAATGGATTACGTTACAAACTACATTTTGGGGCATGTAATCTGTAATCTGTAGGGGAATACATTTTAAAAAACACATTTGACATTTTCACAGTTTTGAAGATTAAAATGTTTGTGTTTCGTATGAATTTAGCACAAGAAGTGATTTAACAAAGCCATGATTTAGCCTTTATTTTTTATTGAATCAAATCAATTTGGAATTTATCGTATCGAATCAAAAGCTCACTGTGTCGAAGTATGTATCGTATTGGTAACTTCTGAATGATACCCAGCCCTAATTCACAGAGAGAATTATTATGTTCTTGAGCAATAGAAACACACGTGATGAATAAATGTTTACTGTCATACCGTGGAACATTTCAGGCAGTAATAATAAATAATAAATCTCCGTGGAGACAACCAGGTGACGGATCCTCCACCAGAAAAGTTGCGCAATGCACCTTAGGCTGGATGATGTGGTAAAAAACAAAACAGTGTCTTTCCTTTTAAATGTTGAATTCATGAACGTAAACAAGAAAGACTTTTAATCAAAAAAGTCTAGTAATAGTGATGGGACTTTCAGCTCTTTTGTAGCATCCGAATCTTATGGATCTGATAGTTTCAAAGAGCCGTACAAAAAACTGGCTCTTTTACTATTAATAAGAACAAACTTTATCTAAAATCTTAATCACAGAGAGAATTGACCAAGGTTCAGATCTGTTTAGGTTCAAACTTGAGAGGGAGTGTGTTTACCCTTTGAAATGAGCCATGATCTAAATCAAAAGTTTCTCCACCTTAATAATAATAAAACTAACTGCCAAACTTTTTTTTTTTTTTTTTTTTTTTGGCACAAAGCTCTCACTCATGTTGTCTTCTCTGCGTCTGTGCTGATTCTTGTGTTGGCTCAGGGTTAATGCGTAAAAAAACACATCAAAATTAGAAAGAAAAAAAAAAGTAGATTGAAAAGATTGATTCCAAGTGTTCACATTTAAGGAACGCTACTAACACTCACTAAAAAATAATTAAGTTTCTTCCTCTGAACTCTGCTCCAAACCACTTGCTTTTACTGACAGAGGATTGGCGTTGGGCCTGTCCATTAAAAAAATCAAAGTATATCATTGATGATTAGACACGACTGATCCTTCCTCTTGATTAAAATTTGGTTCACTGGTTTTACAGTATGAGTTAG